GGTTTTGATAAATGACATAGATATTTTCATGTTGGCAAATTTACCAGCCTTTTCTTTGGTGGTCTTTCTGGCCCCAGGCTGCTGCTTGTCCCTCCTGTGCACGTGCCAGCTGCTCAGGAAACATCTGAGACTCAAATTAAGTTGAAGTTCGAAAAACATGTAGCTGTAAAGAAAATAGAAGCTGTGGTGCCTTTGCTCCCTGGGCTCCCCCACCATATCTACCTGTTCATTCCTTCCCACCTTGGGGGGGTCCAGCGAGGCCCTAAGGGGGCCTGTGACTCCCCCAAGGTGAGGCGGGGCTCAGAGCTGGATGAGGGGACTTGGGGGCGACAGGAAGTTCACAGCTGGGCAACCTCCACGTATTAACTCAGCTAAACCCCATCGCGACCCCATAAGATAAGTACTGTGACTAGTCCCATTTTACAGGTGAGAAAACTGGTGCTCAGAGAGGTTATGTGGCTTGCCCAAGGCCACACAGAAAGGGCCATATTGCCCCAGAACTCTTAAACTTTCAAATCCTCTTATGGCCCTTGGGATCCCCACTGCCCTTGGGATCCAGTTTAAGCTCTTTGCTACGACAGCCAAGGTCTCGGTTTCTTCATCTGCCCGTGTAATGCCCGGGCCCCGGCGCCTGCACGCCAGGCGCTCACTCCATGTTCACCGCCTGTTACTAGGGCGAGAGGGTGTGCCTCTGCCTTCCCCACAAACCCAGAGCCCTCAGAATCCTGGGTGTTGGGGCTGGAAGGGCCCTGTGGAGCCTGGGCCAGCCTCCTGGTTTCGGACCGGAAAGGGGTCGCGCAGAGGCAGGGAGAGCCTTGCCCAAGGCCGCTGTGCGAGGAGCAGAAATCTGCACCTGGATAGGCAGGACTCTTGAGTGTCCCTCAGAACACCCCAGGCGTGACCCACGACTCTGGGCTCTTTCAGTGTGCTGTGTCGGCCTCAGGCGGGCTGTCTGTGCCTGCTTGCTCTTCTGGCGGCTTGAAAGACACCCCCTCACCCCTCCCCTGGGCTCCCGAGGCACTGGCGGCTTTGGTCCAGCGTGCAGTGACTGCTGACTTCCTCGCTGTCTGCCCTGTGCGGCAGGGCGCTCCACGCAGCCAGGCGCCTGCTGCTGCCTCTTCAGGTCCTCGGTGCCCAGTGCGGCACCTGGCATTGAGTGGGCCCTCAGGAAAGGTGGACTGCAGGAGGGCCCAGAGAAGGACAGACACCTGGCCCAGGTCACACAGCAAGTTGGAGCAGAACCAGAAGCCCCATGAAGCCCTTGAGACCCCACAGGTCCCCCTTGCTCCTGGGACTCAGCCGAGTCTAGGGATGGGGCAGTGTCTACAACAGCCACCAAGGGGCTCCTGTTCTCTGCTGCTCCCTGGGACCTCGGGCCAAGGACACCCTGTCTCCCCCCACCCCCGCCCTCTACAAAGGATGTTCTCAAGATAAAAATACCACCGGAAACATTCCCCGGTGTTTGGTGTGACTGTTGTCCACCCTGATGGGCCAGAAGCTCCTGACCTGACCTCACCTTGGGACTCACACGGTGGGCGTGTATCCCTTCTGGCCACTCGGTGCAGACTGTCCCTGGAGTCAGTGCTTCCAGCCACCACTTTCTGAGCACACGCTGCGGGCCTGGCACGTCCTAGGCACAGAGGAACAAGGCAGCCAAGTCCCTCCACTGGGAAGCTCGAGCTTCCCCTAGGCCATGGCCTGCCAGGGCAGTTTCTGAGGACCCCCACCAGGCCACGGGGGTGGCCCAGGCACTGCTGTCAGCTGCCCACATGGGTTTCAGAGCCGGAAAGCCCTTCATGGAGGACGCCGGGGAGGACCTGCACTACTGCGTGGCCTCTGTGTGCCAATGCCAGGGACAGGATGTAGTTTACCTTCATGACAGTCTCCTGAGGTGTGTGGGGTCTCCCCATTTTGCAGATGGGAAGTCTGAGGCCCAGGGAAGGGCCCCCAGTGAGCTACAGGGTGGCCAGGCCCCTCTAGGGAGGGCTGTCATTGAGGATGTCAGCTGCCACCTCCCTGGAGCCCTACTGGGGCCGGGCCCTGTGCCTCACCCACACCTCCCGTCACCACATTCAGTTTCATGGCATGCACTCTGGGAGGCCAGGTGGGCGTCACCAACCTCGTTTTTCAGAGGAAGCTGAGCCTTGGGAAGGGGCAGTCTCAGCCCCAGCCTTGTCCAACAGGTTTGGCACCAGGGAAGTGTAGGGGTTGGCCCAGGCCCTTCCCACCCTTGCTGGAGGCTGTGGGTCAGCCCATGCTATTGGGCCCCTCTGTCATGTGGAAGCACTGCCCCTGCATGCCCTGTCACCCCGTCCAGGACTGTGACCACCACCAGGGAAGCGATTGGTGGACTTGGAAGGGGTCAGGCTGCTGTGGCCACTGTAGGTGGCAGGAGGAGCATGGACAGGGCATCCAGAAACCTGGGCTCTGACCTCCTGGCTGCCACCCACCGGCTGCAGGACCTTGGGCAAGTCATTTCTCTGCTCCAAGTCTCAGTTTCCCCTGTGTACAGTGGAGCTGATTTTGTGTCCCTCATAGGTGAGAACAAATCCGGCTGGACCTGCGAGTCTGGGGAAAGCCCTCCAGGAAACAGGCGGCGAGGGTCAAGGTTGGGAGAGCCTGGGCAGGCTGGGCCAGGTGACCAACAGACAGTGGGAGGAGCCGATGGCCTCACCTCTGCCCTGCCCCCTCCTGGCTCCGTAGAGCCCTATGGCAACATCCCATCTCGTCTGCCCAGAGCTCCAGCTCCAGGTGACCAGGGCTGTGAGGGCGGTGCCAGGCCAGCTGCTGGGGATCTCACTCAGGGGCAGGGCCCGGGCTCACATCTCTGCCGTGGAAATTCCCAGCTGTGTGGCAGTTTGTGGTGGGACCTCCCTGAGCCGCCGTTTGCCTTCAGTTCTGAGAGTGAAAGGACAGAGAGGCTAAACGCTGGCCCAGGTAGCTGCTCAGGGAACGATGGGGGCCTGGGCACTGGGGGTGGAGGGTGAAGAGGGCCCAAAGGGCCACTGGAGAACAGATGGGATCCCCTTACAGAGTAAGCTCAGAGAGGGAAATGATTCACCCAAGGTCACACAGCTTGTGAGAGGCAGAGCTGGGACTTGAACCCAGGTCTGTGTGTCTCTAAACCACTGTTGCCTGCCCTAGCAGGCTTATGATGTGGGGATGACTCACCAAGTTTCCTTAGTCCCAGCCAGAAAAGCCAGTGTGGAAAACCTGCCTTGGCTGTAACCTTACCAAGGGCGGAGGCCCCGTGCACTCAGGGGCTGAGCGGTGGGGAGGGCGAGAAGCATCTCAAGGCAGCTCAACTCTGGAGGGTCTCAGAGGCCCTTCCCACCGTCCTCTCTCCTGATCCTCACAGCTCGCTGGAGGGGATGGCAGGGGGCCTCTTTGACAGATGGGAAAATTGAATATTGAGGATTACAGGGTCACTGTAGGATGTATGTGCACCCAAGGCAAATCTCTGGCAAATTACTGATGTGTACCCATGCATATAGTGAGCCATGTGCATACCCACTCATCTGTCGAGTCATCTGTCCCATTCACCCAAACACTCCATCCATCCATCTACTCATCATCCACCCATCCATCCCTCTTTCCCTCTAGCCATGCATCCACCCACTCATCCCTCCTTCCATCCTCCACCTACTCATCTACCCTCATACCCATTCACCCATCCCTCCCTACATCCATTCATCCATCCATTCACCCACTCATTCACCCACCCATCCATCCACCTGTCTGTCCATCCATCCACCCACTTATCCATCCTCTCATCCATCTCTCCACCCATTCATCCATCCATGCATCCATCCATTCACCCACTCATTCCCCACCCATCCATCTACCCACCCACTTATCCATCCACCCATTCATCCACTCACCCATCCATCTACCCATTCATCCATCCTCTCATCCATCTATCCATCCTTCCAGTCATCCATCCACCCATTCATCCATCCATCCATCCA